CACGGTGTTATTGTGTTGTTATTTGAGGGAATTGCAGTAAATCAATTGAGTTACCAAAATGACATTATTTCCGTGTTATCACCTCATTAACACCACAATATTACTTCAGTAACACCATGGTATAACCTCAATATCACTGGTATCCACAGTAACACAGCGGTATCCACCTCAATAACACTGCGACATCCCCTTAGTAACACCGTGGTAACACCTCAATAACACCTCAATAACACCACAGAAAAAATCCAATAACAACGCGGAATGCTCAAATAACACTACGATAACATGTCAATAACACCGCAAAAAACACCAATAACATCGCGAAAAATGCCAATAACACCGTGGAACACGCCAATCTTGTTGTGTTGTTACGATGTAATTGGGGTTGTCTTGCAGTGTTATTGGAGGGAACCCGTGGTGTTATTGACGCGTTTTTCTAAAGCGATGCTATTCTTATTATTTTGTGGCGTTATTGATGTGTTATTTGCGCCTTTTTGACGTGATTTTGCAGTGTTATTGGGGAGTTGTCACGGTGCTATTAGAGTGGTTTTGCGGCGGCGTTGATGGTGTCATTTAGCAGTGTTATTGCAGTTTTATCGAGGTCGCCTTGCGTTGTTATTGAAGGGAACCAGTGGTGTTTTTGGTGTGTTTTTTTTTAATAGTGTTATTCACGTTGTTTTGTTGTGTTATTGAGGTGTTATTTGGGTGTTATTGGTGTTATTTTGCAGTTATTTGAGAGTTACGTGTTGTTATTGGCATGGTTTTGCGACAGCGTTGAATGCATTATTTTGCAGTGGTCGCGATTTTATTGGTGTTGTTTTGTGGTCTTATTGAGAGTTATAGTTCTTTTAGTTTTATTGGCGTGATTTTGCAGGGTTATTGGGGAGTTGTCGCGGTTTTATTGGGAGCTTAAGTTATTCTATTACAGTAGTTGTTAATCCAGACATGAATGTAAACACATCACAATAAAACATATTACAGTAGAACATATTTGAGAGCTATATAAAGACATCAAGTTTAAAAATAAACCAAATTAACATCAAAACTCGTACGGACTGATCATCAGGCCATTTTCAATTATATAAATGACCACATGCAAATTTGAAGATTAATTAACCAAAAAAATGAATTTGTATTTTAAATTACCATAGATAACAGAAACTAAGAGTAGATCAAACCCAAAGTACTCCAATTAAATGAACTAATTAATTATACACTTATAACTCACTAATGGAGTCCATCAACAGGTTGGAATATGCTTCCATGGTTTACGGTGTAAAATATTCCTACTTTTTTGGAGTAAGTACAAATGAACGTGTAGAAGCATATTGCTCTTTTCATAGAAATGGATTTGTCGATTAAGTATTTAAGAAAATATCCAAAACTTTTCAAGTACAACAACAATAACAATAACAAAGTTAATCCCACTACATGGGGTCCGATACAAGAATCTTTTTTCTCCATTGCGTCCTATTTAGTATCATATTTTCATTTAGTTCTAATAAATTAATATCATTTTTTATACAATAAGTCCAAGTCTTCCTAGGTCTACCTCAGCCTTTCATAACATAAGAAAAATCTAAAACATTTACTCTCGTAATCGGATCATCAGATGGTCGAAGTTTTAATGTGACCAAATCATCTAAGCGATTTTCTCTGATTTGCCTGTCACTGGAGCTACACCAACTCTATCACGGATATAATTATTTCTCATTTTGTCTCTAAGTGTAAAGCCACTCGTGCACCTAATCATTCTCATCTCATAAACACTTAAATTACTATTATGCTTCTCTTTTAAAGGCCAACATTCAGCATCATAGAGCATCGCAGCTCTCACCACCGTTTTATAAAATTTTCCTTTCAGTTTTAGCGATATTTTTTTTATCACACAAAAGGCTCGAAGCATTCCTCCACTTCAACCAATCAACTTGAATTCTACTATTAACATCCCCATCTATATCACCATCACGCTGAACAACAGACCCGAGATATCTAAATCGTCCACACCTTTTAGTAATTTGATCACCCAAAGTTACACTTCTATCACTAGAGCTACTACAACTAAAATTGCATTCCATGTACTCAGTTTTAGTTCTATTTAAATGAAGGCCTTTAGACTCCAATGTAAACCTCCATAATTCAAGTTTTTCCTAGGCTTTTTCTTTCGTTTTATCCACGAGAAGGATATTATCAGCAAAAAGCATACATCAAGGTACATCCTCCTGTAGATCTCTAGTAAGACCATCCATACAACAACAACAACAACAACAAAGCCTTAATCCCACTATGTGGGGTCGGCTACATGAATCCTTTTTCTCCATTGCGTCCTATTTAGTGTCATATTTTCATTTAGTTCTAGTAAAGTAAGATCATTTTTAATACAATAAGCCCAAGTCTTCCTAGGTCTACCTCTGCCTTTCTTGAAGTAAGTCGAATTTAAAACATCTAAAAAATAGAAAAATACTCCTTCAGTTTGAACAAACACAACAGCTCTAGTATACATATCTTTAATGACTTGAATATAAGTCATATCAACACCTTTCTTCTCAAAAACTCTTCAAAGGATATCTCTTGGAACCTTATCATAAACTTTTTCTAAATCAATAAAAATTAAATCTAGATTCTTCTTATTATCTCTGAACTTCTCCATCAAACCTCTCAATAAATGTATAGCTTCCATAAAAGACTTGCCCGACATAAATCCAAATTGATTATGAGAAATATTTGTAATGCGTCTTAACCTATGTTCAACTACCCTCTCCCATAACTTTAAAGTATGACACATCAACTTAATTCCTCTATAATTTGCACACTCTTTATTCTTAAAAATGGGGACCAGAATACTCTTCCTCCACTCCTCAGGCATCTTTTTAGTTTTTAAAATAATATTAAAGAGTTTAGTAAGCCAAGAAACTCTCAAACCTAAATATTTCCACACTTCATTGGGATATCATCAGATCCTACAGACTTTCCACCCTTGGTTTTCTTTAATGCCTCATCAATTTCTTTTTTACTAATGCAACGGTAAAATAAAGTGTTTTATTATTATTAACAATATTAAGATCACTAAGGTTGATCGTATTTCAGAAAATTCATTAAAAAATTTATCAAAATAACTCACCCACCTATGTTGAATATCTTTTTTAAGAAAAGTAATTTTTGATTTTCATCTTTAATATACTTTACTTGAGTTAAATCTTTACTATTCTTTTCTCTTTGTTTGACTAGTTTATACATATATTTTTTACCCTCCTTAGTATCTTATCTATTATAAAGATCATTAAAAGCAGAATTTTAAGCGTCACAGATTGTTCTTTTAGACTCCCTACTGGCTGTTTGATATTTTTCCCAGTTCTCTAAGTTTTTACATATAAATCAATTTTTATAATATAACTTCTTATATTTTATCTTTTCTTGCACATTATTATTCCAACACCAACTATTTTTATTTATAAAAACTTTTTCTTTTGATTCTTCAAGCACATCTTTTGCTACTTGTTTAATAGCGTTTGTTACTTTATCCCACATCACATTTGCTTCTTCATGAATATCCCAAATTTTGAAATCTTGAATTTTACTCATAAAACTAATTTTATTTATGTCTTTAGGTTCCCCCATCTAATTCTACGATAATGAGTCATAGTATTCTTTATTTTACAACTCCTCATCTTAAAATCTAGAACTAATAAACGATGTTAAGTACTTAAATTCTCACTAGGAATGACCTTACAATCTTTACAATCTTGACGATCTCTTCTTCTCATAAGAAAATAATCAATTTGTGTTTTATTAGATCCACTCTTATAAGTAATAAGATGCTCATCTCTTTTCTTGAATAAAATATTAGTAATAACAAAATCACACGCTAAAGCAAAATCTAAAATAGCTCTACCTTCTTCATTATCTACTCCAAAACCGTAGCCACCATGAGTATTTCTAAAGTCTTCTACCCCTCTACCAACATGCCCATTTAAATCTCCTCAAATAAAAAATCTTTCTTTAAGAGGTATCATTGGTATCAAGTCTTCTAATTCACTCCAAAATTTATCTTTAGATCCTATATCTAAACCTAATTGATATATCTAAACCTAAGCATAAGCACTTACAATATTAAAAATCTTAGTATCAATGATAATCTTAAAGACTATAATTCTATCTTCAACTCTATTAATTTTTACAACATTATCTTTCAAACTCTTATCTATAACACCTACACCATTTCTAGTGCGACTCTTACCCGAATACCAAAGTTTAAAACCTAAATTATCAATCTCCTTAGCCTTTTCTCAAACAAATTTAGTTTCTTGAATACATAAGATATTAATACAGATAAGTTGCACACTCGATGGGTTTAGAGGCTTTAAGACATAACCCTAACTAAGTATACAATGTGAAAAAGGCTTGTGGTGTTCGAAGGTGACACCACAAGAGACGTGGTGACATGCCTTCCGTACAGGAAATTCACACATCGTTGGACAAGCAGCAAGCGACCATTCACCACAAAATGCAAATATCAGACCGCACACACATAGTGGCATATGCATGCAGTGATACCACAAGTACCAATGCTTCTTGAGACACCAAATATAGAGACATACCAATTGGCAAAAGACATCTATTTTCATCATGCAAATGATTTTATCATATAACATAACATGCAAAAGGTTTAATTTTCACGTACATACAAGTATGAAATTCAAAAATGTCATACGAGAAATGCAAAGGATGCAACTCACAAATATGCAAGTGAAGTTGGCCATTTATCCATTGATTTGACCAGAGCGGTCGACCGGGCGTCATGGTCAAAAAGGTCCATCGGGCCAGGATGACCGACTGGACCAAAATGATCGATCAACCAGGCCGGAGTGACCGATCGAACCAAGTGGTCGGTAGACCGGGCTAGGGCGATCAGTTGGACCTAAGTGATTAGTCGGTCAAGTTAGGGCGGCCAGCCAGACGTAAGTGGTCAATCAACCAGGCCGGGGTGACATGTCAGACCTAAGTACTAAGCTGACCGGTCAAGCCAATGTGGCACATACAATATGCAAGATGCAAGCATACAACATAACATAACCTGTGATGCAGTGCAAATGCCAATGAACGACAGCGAGCCATTCCCGTCCTAGCGCTCTCGCATAGAAACCTAGGTTTTTTGCGTATGGATGTGAGGCATAGCCACCTCTGACTTTGGCGAGGAATGTGGGGAATTTCGCTCACCGGAGCCATTCCCGTCCTAGCGCTCTCGCATAGAAACCTAGGTTTTTGCGTATGGATGTGAGGCATAGCCACCTCCGACTTTGGCGAGGAATGTGGGGAATTTCGCTCACGTATTTCTTGAAGGGAAAACTCTCCACGATTTTGTAGCATGAGCTAGCTACAAAGCTTTTCCCATTCTACAACACTCCACGATTTTATGAAATAGACCAACTACAAAGTTTTTTATATTCCACAAAATCTAAATGTTCCAACCTCTCCAACAAATGTTAGAGCCACCAAAGCCAGAGGATATATGGATTCCGACCGATTTGGGTTCGAGCTAAGGCTTTTGCAGGGATATCACTTTGGGTCGTAGGGGACTTTGTCCAACAAAAGCTTCCCTATCCTAGTGGTCTTCTCTAGGAAAACAACCTAGACCTAACATTCTCTACACAAACCTAGGGCTAGCTAGGAAAATAAATTACAAGGAGTTAGAAGAGTTTCACCCACGTGATGAGTGAATGAACTCCCGCTTTGTCCCGAATGAAGCACTCCTCGCCGTAGGAGACATGAAGAAGCCTCACACTCCACACTCCTCAGAAGTAGGGAAGAAGCTCTCCTAGCCGGAGAGAATGATGAAGTCGCCAGAGTTTGGCTTTCCCCAAGGTAGGATGAAGCTCTCATTTCATAAAAAGAGAATGTCTAGCCTTCAAGCAGCTTCTTCTCCAAGGAATCCCTCACTTACACTTTCTTTCTCAAGAAGAATGAGTGGAAGAAAAAGAAAGTGAAGTGGATTTGAAGAATAGAAGAATAAATTAGGGAAAAGATGAAGAAAATGGGGAAGTTTGGAGCAATAATCTCTCCAAAACAGCTTTCTCCTTGAGGAGGATGAAGAGCTTACTTCTTGCTCCACAAAAATCTCTCCCAAAGAAGCTCCAAGCTCTCCTTTTTTGCTCCAAGCACCAACCCATAGGTCTGAGACAATGAAGAGAAGATAGGGGAAGAAAGAGTGCTAGCCAAGCTTAAGCCCAAGCCAACGAGCCTTCCCTCCATTTTGCCATGACAAGCTTGATTAAACCTTTAGGAAGCTTCCAAAATTAGTCAAAAAGAGGCATCATGAGCACCCTTTTTGCCTCCCCAATGCAATCTTCCCATTAACCAATGAAAGCCCAAATTCCAGTTGCATCGGGGGAAGGTGAAAAACGGCTCAAAAATTCGGATTTTTCGCATCCAGAAACTGGACTGGCGTCTAGGCGCCCAATCTGGCGCCCTGCCTCAGGTCTAGTGCTTAAGCGCCAGAAGGGTGACACCTACTTTCCCACGAAAAGGCTATTTTTTGAGGCATTTTGGACACCTTGACACCTAGGATCGGTGCCTAAGCGCCCAATCCGGCGCCTAGGCGCCAGTAGGCGCCAGTAGGCTGACGTTTACTTTCCTAGGGCTTGGGAAAATGCTCTGGAGTGTAGTTTTGGGCGCGAGTTTCTTCGATCTGTAAGCTAAGGGGGATTAGGTATGATTGAAATATGGTCCCGTAACTTCAAAGATGAGTATTTTGATTAGCGGTTCATAGAGGAAATCATTGCCAACGACCTCCTTGGACCACGGTAGGGGTAGGGTATTCCAAACCCGGCCTGACTTTTGCCCGGATGACCGTAAGACGGTCCTCATCAATCCGGAAGCTACAAAAAATTGCATATCGCTAGAATACAATTCAGTAACTCAAAAAAGAACGTTTTGGAGTTTTCAAACTGGGTTTTTTAATGCCAACGGGTGTACCAGATCCTTGCGGGGGTAAAATTGGTCCGAACCCGATTTTTCCCAAAATGCGCAAGAGGAATCTCGACTACCCTTGGCCTCAGAAAACTCCTGATTGATGGAGTTGAGTTTCTCAACATCAGAACAGATGTAAATCACATACGAAGTCAAGGCTAACACCACCTTACGGTGAAATTACTGGGTAGGGTCAAGTCAGTATTGGTTCTGATTTCAGGCTCGGGGCACGTACCAGAAGGTCTGATTAGGCGTCTTGGACGACGGGAAGCTAGACAGTCCCGTGTTGTTTAAATAAACAAACATTGTACGTAACATCAAAAAAATTGATGCTAAAAAAGGCCATCTGAGAACAAACGCAGGTTGTCTCATTGTTGATTCTAAAAGTGTAAGAGAATAGAACCTGGTGGAATTCAGTTAGAAAAGCAGTTTCATGATTTGGGTCGAAATCAAGAGACCACTTGAGTCACTTCATTGATTTGTCTACGATATTAAGATATTTCTTGGAGAAAATTCAGGAGTAGTCTTCAGACACTGTTAGCCACTGTTAGTTGAATCAACACATGTCTCCCATCCATGAGTCTCACTTTCCACTTGCCTACTAGCTTAAGATCATCAACATTCTTTCTGATAACATCCATAGGTGGGTGTCCCTACTGAAACTTTCTAATAAGAGCAAACTTGAATTTTTCCATCAGGAAAAAAATTCTAAGTCTGAGAAAAAAATTGCTGTTTTTCCACCTTTCCTACTTCCCTTTTTAACAAAAGGTCAATCATTTGTACCATCGCGACAATCCTTATGTCTTAAGTAGAATACCACCGCAGACTCTACCTGAGGGTTACCCACGACGTGGGCAAAGGAGGCCTTTGCCGGTTCAACCAAAGAAGAAGCAAGAGCCATTAGAGCAAGGGGATATGTCGACGATCACCTGCAGCGAGAAGCAGACAAAACGACACTGTGTCGGGCCAGAGAGAAGTACGGGTGGAGACGGTCAAAACGAAGAAACGAAGAAACGTTGAAGCATAAGGTCGAAACAGAAAGTCGAAACAGAAAGAAAGAAACATCGGGCACACAAGCAAGGATTGCGACATCGAAATGAAGCAGACGCCAGACGCAGAATCTGCGACCGATGATGCCAACGCAGACGGGAGCGAGAATCGACGAAATGAGTTGCGAGCCCCTCTCCTTCGAGCGATAGAATCGAATGCGAAGGAAATCTCCATTGTAAACCCTAGCAGAGCACGAGCTCTCGACCGCAGCCGACATCGTCTATTATAATTAGTCAATATATATATATATATATATATATATATATAATTGATGAGTAGTATTCGAGCCAAAATGAGCCCAACATGAACGAACAAATCTTTGTTCGTGTTCAGCTTGTTAACTTAGCAAAGAACCGAACACGAGCTTCTTAAAGAGCCGATCACGAGCTGTTCGCGAACAACGAGTCATTTTGACAACCCTATTTCTAGCATCCATGGCTCAATTAGCATCCTCAACAAGCGAACAACAATCATCTCAACTTGAGAGTTACCCCAATGTAACATTCTCAGACTCGCCGCAGCTATACACTTGCCCACCTCGTCACGGATAATAACTCCCAAGCCCGCTAGCCCCAAACCAAGAGTGGGGGACACCAATCCCGTCATTGCTTCCCAAGTAGCTCTTGTCGCGACTGTATTGTAAGTGGATCACATCATCGCTTCCCAGCTAACTCTTATCGTAATCCTGTTGGGAAGCCGGCTGAACTACAAGGAATGTGAAAATCCTTGTACGTAGCGATCCCGATCACTCGATTCAACGTGAAAATCCTTCAGGTCGTGATTTTGTTCGATCACAGCGGGGAATTTTTATGCGTTGCGATCCCTATCGCGTGATCCCATCAGAGATGGGATGACGAAGGCTTTGTATGTCATAAAACCGTCGATCTTCCCAGCATCTGTATGTCGCGATTCCATCGGTGAACCCCAAAAAATCGATTGCTTTGATACCCATTTGATACTCGTCAATCTCCCCAACGTCTGTATGTTGCGATACCATCGGTGATCTCCAATAATCGATCGCTCTGATGATACGAAACAACACGAGTTTCCACCAAAAATTAAGGCAAATAAAACATTTTATTTCAAGAACCCGAACAACACAATTCAGATATATAAAGGATAAACACCTACAATTCGAGAAGAAGACGATCTCTCTCAAACCCTAACCCTAAGACTCAAGACAACAATCTCATCATGCATAACCCTAACCCTAAACATATTAGCCCTATTTATATCAAACAATAATAAATACTAAAAAACTAGATTGCCCATAGGAGATGGTGTAACAGATTGAAATACTCTTTGGTGGGGATTATTTCAACTAAATTGATATTTTTATAAACTCTGAGATTAAAATTATCCTTTGCAAAGATTCAAGTGACCATTTTAACAATTTTATCCATCTTGTGGCAGATTTTAAATTCTTACTCACTGTAGGTTTCTAAGATGAAATTCTCTTTGGGAATTATGTCATTTACTCTACCAATCTAACAATTCTCTTATGCAAGCTACTCAAAATTCATTTCTGTTCATAACAACATTCAATATTCTAAATAAAATCATATCTATGTTGATAGATGCAAATATTCGATAAATAAAAGCATATGAAGTGCATATTATTAAACTAGTGGAGTTGAATTTGCTACAGAGTACCTTGAATTGCCATCATCAGAAACACGTTGTTTAGCCCATGTTGGGGTTCGTCTAGATTTCGCAGAGCGAGAAGCCTGATTCAAACACTTTTGTGAAGGTGCACCAGAATTCAAGCCCTCTTGCTTAGTAGGAGTAGGTTCGTTCACATATGGATATTCAATCTTTTGAAGTTCTCCTTTGCTAAGCTTCTCAACCAGCTCCTGAAAAATAACATTAATTGTACACTTTACTGCACGAAAACTAGTAAACCAATAACAGATGAGGAAACAAAACAAGTACGTTGATGATGAGAATGAGGAGAAAGATGCCATTATGGTAAATGAATGATGGATGACGGGTTTAAATTAGAAGAAAAAATGGAGATGCCTCATATTATAGAACAATTGACACAAATAAAGTTGATACGAGAACTGGCCTATGAAAAATTGGTGTTTGCTCAATTAAAATCACTCCTTCATGCTTAAGCTTTGTGGAACTTTGATAGTCTATGTGACTGAAACTTTATGAGTCCTATCCAATAATTTATGATGAGGATTGATGGAAGAAATGAAGGTTTGAGATAGCATCAAGAATAATAGTTACAGGATAATACCAAAGGCCTCAAGTGACAAACAATGAATTTGGGAGTTAATGTTGGAGATGTACAAATACTTATTTAGTACCCGTTTGGAATTTCTCCCAACTAGCTAATGAACCCCGCCTCTTTCCTATTGTTGATCTCAATCAAGCCAATACCATGGCAATGACCATATAATTAAAAAACAAAAACCGAAGTAAATGCAAGAAGAAAAAATAAAAATAATAATAATAAACAAAAAGATGTAGGTAGTTAGAGGAGACGCATCCCCTCGTAGAACCATATTGTTTATCACTTCGAATGTCTTCTGATTCAATACCATCGAACGATCAAGCGAGAGAGGAAATTGTTGTGCCCTAGTCGAGGAAGGAAGAAGAAGTCGCAGGAAGAAGCGTGTGGTCACTGTGCAGTGTCGTGCGAAGGAGAAGAGGAAAGAGAAGAATTTGCGGCTTGTGTCGAGACTAAAGGCAAAAGAAGGAGAGGGAGGCAGCGACATCAAAGGCTTACTTGGACCGAGCCGCAATCGTAGAAGAAGGAATTCAAAGGAGGAAGAAGAAACCTTAGTTCCCTAGTTGAACGGCTTCGCCTTTGTTCTCGTGCGCTGCTAGTGCGAAAGAGGAAGAACAAGGCTACGTCGTGTGTGTAGGAGTGTGTTGACCTCATTTTTATGAGGTCTTTCCTTCTTCTTCCTAGAGCTTAGGATCTAGCCCTAGGAGTTTCCTATTGACTATCTTAGAAAACCAGCATTGAAACCTGTCCCTTTAGAAATTCCAAAACACTTCCTATTTTCCTGTAATGTCTAGCATTTATGGTCTCAAAACCCTGGTCTTATGGACAAGCGGTTAAAGACCATTGTGTGGAGACTCAAGGAGAAGTTCCCAATTACCTCAAGCCCTAGGAAAACCTCCTCACGACTTTATCGTCAAACATACACACTAAATGCATAAAATTCACTAAATCGCACAAGATAGGACTTCAATTGAGCCTAAAGAATGGGTGAAAATGCAAACTTCATCAAACGATCTCCGATGACAAAATGGACTGCACCAACGCGTCCGGGACACCAATTTTAGTAGAAAAAACACTTATATTGTCATATTTTCGACATGAGAAAATGACATGCAAATCGATGAATTTGTCAAAACGACCTCCGACGGCGAAACAAACCCCGCCAGCGCATCTGAAACGTCAGAATTACCCAAAAATGATAGCAATTTTGTTATGTTTCGACGCACGAATGAAAGACAAATCAAATTTTATTTTTCAAATTTTTTGATATTTTTATAATTATATCATTAATTATAATCTAATTAAAACCTAAACCCTTTTCACCTGCACGCTTAAACCCTCGTTCGAGCCATCTCAGGGCTCGATCCCGCGGCTCGTCTCCCTCTCGTCCGTGTGCCCTAGTTCCACGGTGGATCCACACGGCTTTCCTTTGCCGTTCTTGCTCGCGACTCATCTCCACGAGCTTCCCCTTGACTTTTCGGCTCTCCAATCACGAGGAGGTGAGCTGGTCGACGCTTCTCCTCCTCGAGGTTGTACGCTCTCCCTCTTTATTGTGTCGATTCCGTCCCTCTTGTTCTATTCGGCCATGAAGCGGTGGTTGGTGGCTGATTCTTCCCCCATCTTCTCTGCCCATAAAAAGCTTCTTAGATTCTCTGTGTTGGGTTGTTGAAAATTTTTGGAGAAGAAGGAGAGGCTGTGTTTTTGCTGTGGGAGGCTCTAGGGAAGAGAACTCTTCTCTAAAATCTGATTCTCGTGCGCTTGGAGTGTGGGGTGTTCGTGGAGTGCTGTTTACTTTGCCGAAAATACTCTCTAAGCTATATTTTCCGGTGCCTGTGGTGTGGAGCATTCGTGGTTGTCGTTTCTTGAAGTTTTTAGTGGAAATATTTCTCTTGGAGTGGTTTTTCTGGAATTATCTTTCAATTTTATTTTAAATCTGCTGAAAAGAGGTATTCTTCTCATTCTCTCTATTCTATTTTATCTAGGACGGCATGTTGAGGCATCTCTATCCTCTTGCAAAGGTTAATGGAGGAATGACTTAGTTTATTTTGAAGTCTAGGTATTGATATATGCTGGAAATTATTTTTATGAGTTGGAAATTATGTTTGGGGCTCATTTCTACTTCTCTTGCTGCCCCTTATTAGAATACATGCTGAAAATTATTTTTATGAGTTCGAAAATTATGTTTGGGGCTTGTTTCTTGCTTCTCTTGTTGCCCCTTATTAGAATACATGTTGGAAATGAAATGCTGAAGTCTTTTATTATTGTTATTTTCGAATGAAGGAAGTGCTGAAATTCATTTCAATACTGAGAAATATTTGGCTTTAGGGAATCATTACTCTTATCTATTTCCTGTTATCAATTCCTGCTTAAAACATATGCTGGGGTGCAAGAAATTTTGAAGTCTAAGGCTTTATGAAATCTGATTTTTATGGCTTTGTTTTGACCCATCTGATGAGTTCGATCTACCTAGGATGTTTCTCTATTTTTGCTCCCTTTTGCTAGATTTAGTTTGGCCTGAAGCTAGGCTCGGTTCAGCTGAAATTATATTATGTTTTGTCCCTTATGTCAGCCATGGTTTTTGGCTCATTTAGGACTGCATATAAGTTGGAAGTTTTCTTTGCTTTAAGCCTTTATAGGCCACGTTTTTTTGGCTCCTTTGGAGATTGAATATGTGCTGGAAAATTTCTTTGTGTTGAACCTTTATGGATTTCGGTTTTGGCTCCTTTGAGAACTTCTTTTTGTGGTAGACTTGGGCTGAATGTTACCTTTTATGGGTTCCAGTTTTCCCCCTGTGCTGGGCTCGGTTTGCCCCTTTCTTGGGCTCGGTTTGGGCTCCTTTTTGGTGATTTTATGTTGGTTGAAATCCCTTACTATTTGGACCATTTCTTGGACTCCGTTTGCCCCATGTGCTGGGCTCGGTTTGCCCCTTTCTTGGGCTCGGTTTGGGCTCCTTTTTGGTGATTTTATGTTGGTTGAAATCCCTTACTGTTTGGACCATTTCTTGGACTTGGTTTTCCCCATGTGCTGGGCTCGGTTTGCCCCTTTCTTGGGCTCGGTTTGGACTCCTTTCTGGTGTTTTATGTTGGCTGGAATCCTTTATATGTTTGGACCATTTTATGAGCTTGATTTACCCCTATGCTGGGCTCGGTTTGGGCTCCTTTCTGGTATTTTATGTTGGCTGGAATCCTTTATGTGTTTGGACCATTTTCTGAGCTCGATTTACCCCTATGATGGGCTCGGTTTGGGCTCCCTTTTGGTGATTTATGTTGGCCGAAATTCTCTTATTATTTGGATTATTTCGTGGGCTTAGTTTGACACTTTTGTGGAGGATGGTTTGGTTGGGGCCTCCTAATTAATGCCCCCCTCCTCTTGAGATTTTTATGGGTAATCAAGTTTGTCATCCAATAATTCATGAATTTGAATATCTATCTCTATGTGGGAGTGTTTGATATGAGTGTTCTCATGCTTTATATGATGAAAGTGGGTTCGATCTCAATGATGTATAATAGCTTGTCCATTCACTCTCTTATGTATGTCAAATACAATGCAATGGTAGTACTTATGGTGGTTTCTTTATGCTGCCTTTGGAACTTTCTTCTTGGCCCTTACCCGTAGGTTTATGCTGCCTTTGGGGCCTTCTTCTTTGCCCCTACCCGTGGGTTTGTGTTGTGTTGGGTTCCTTCTTGCCATCTGTGGCCGTGAGCTTCTTATATGGGGTTTGGTTTGGCTTATTCTGGCCCGTGACCCTCTACTCTCTTTCTGGCCTTACACGTGAGCCCCTACCCTTTTTTCTGCTTTACCCGAGAGTCTCACCTGTTGATTTCTTCATAGAATAAGTTGGGTTGATAGCCATCCCTCTCTGTGGCCTCTGGTTATGAATATTTATATAGTTCTATATGGATAATTTCATGTTTATGCGAAATAAAAAAACTTTTAATAAAGGTTGGATTTAAATGATTTTGATATTGACATGATTTTCTAGAAGGCTAGAAGGTTGCTTCCTCTATTAATTATTCTCTTATTTTGTGAAATATAAAAGACTTTTATATCTTTACCTCAGGAAATCATGAATTTGATATAAATTGAATTTATGAATTTGATATAAATTGAATTCATGAAGGGTTTGAAAATTCATAAAATTGCTATTTGGAAAAGATACCCTTCCTGGGTTGATCCAATTATAAAAAGTTGAGAAAATGATATCCTTCTTGGATTGATTAATGATCTTGGGCTTTATTTTTAGATCTTTTTGACATAACTTTGAGGATTGCTTCACCCTTATTCCTTCGATCCTTTGGATGGATTCCTCCTCTCTCCCATTCCCATTCTCATTTTTATTCTTTTCTTTCCTTGCTTCTTGGTTCGGTTTTCTGTGCTTATGTCTGATACATAAGTGCTAATGTATGGCCTTTTACTATATGTGAAACCATGAAACAAGGTCGCAAGTAGGTCGGTTTTATTTTGGGGCGTAGGGCGATGACGACAAAGGCACGTCGGTAGAATGATATCTCATCGTACAACACCAGGACTCAATTCTGGGACCTGATGAACTGTAGGATGAAGTAACATTCACCGATCTAAGACTAGAGGGGAATCTGTACCTTCTTAGGTTGT